GGTAAGTGGCCTCTTACCTTCGACGTCGATCATCTTCAGGTGCCTGTAGAAACCCGCCTGGTCCCCCTCACGGCTCTTCTTCTCGAGCTGCCTCACATAGCCCTCGAAGAACTTTTCCAGTGCTCTCCACCTCGCGCTGTAAGTCAAATCGAATCGATTTGTTGTACATCTAGAAGTAGGTACATAGACTATACAGCAGGAGGACGATCCGTCCTGCGTCTTCATTCAACACGCGTCAGACACCTCGACATTACTAGCAGAAGGAGAAAGTAAGGAGATCATCGACGCTACTACTGTAGTAGTAGTAGTAGTAGTTGTTGTTGTTGTTGTTGTTGTTGTTGTTGTTGTTGTCTTCACATTAAAAACCGTTCCGATCTCTCGCTACCCAGTACCTTCGTATGTCCGTACTGATACAACACTCGACGCGGTCNAATCAACGACAGATATTCTGGAGTCCTCCACTCCCTCTGCGCGCTATGCGAGGTAACAACTGAGACTAGGGGTCACCATCACGGTCCGGAGAGAATGAGGTACACCCCCTTGATTCAATCTTGGTACTACTTCACAACGCAAGCAGAAACAAGGCCATCTGGCACAGAAAAAGAGAGAAAAGGAAAGAAAATAAATGGAAACAGCAGTCTACATCCTATGTGACCCCGGTTGGGTCGTCTAGCTAGTAGAAGTGGAGGATAGGGGCCAGAGGGGCAGACGACAGAGTCCAATGATGGGAGAAAAAAAAAAAATGTAAGGAAAGAGAAAATGAAATACAAAGAGCGAGGACAAAAAGGGACCAGGCCGAAAATAACAAGAAATAAGAGACAAAGGCACACGGTGGAGAGACCACTAACGACAAGCAACACGCAAACATGGCCACCAACCAGCGATACATTGTAATGGTACGTCATCACTAGTGGGGGGTTGGTGCAATGATGCAGCGTTGGGGGGGTGGGAATTGGCCAAAAGAAATCCAACCCGGCACGTATCGCGCCACTCGGTCCGTCTCTTCTCGTTTGCTTTTTTCCCTCGCCGTCTCGTCCGTCTCCTGCCCCCCTCCCGCCCCATTGGTTGGTGGCTTGTGGATTCGTTTGAGCGCCCGTTGTCGGCTGGCCTCTTCTTCCTTCTCGTGCCAGGAGGTCATGAACCTCTCAGCTCCCTGCAGCACCGCCGCATGCCAGGGTACTCCCCCCTCTACCTTCGCGGCTTCCGTCCACTTTAACTTCGGTGCCGTGTCTTTCGGTACCGGGATTCCGAAACAGCATGGATCGGCTTTCGTAGATCCGTGGTCGGCCCCGAATGCCTTCAGGTCGTCAAGCACACACTTCGGCCAGTTCTGTTCCTGTCCCCCCCTACGTCGCTTCTCCCCCCCTGCCAGTTCGTCGAACATCAGTCGTTTGGGGAGTCGCCCGTCCGGCTGCCTTGCCAATCAATGCTCCCGCGAACAGTAGGCGTCGTTGTCGGATCGTGGCTTCAAC